TTGAGCGTTTAGTTCCGCACAGCTACTGTCTTAGCGGATATGTGCCCCGAAACATTCCCCTTCTTCTGCCAATCTCTGTTGCTGTAATGCGCGATCCAGTCCCCGAATTGTAGTCCGGTTCAGTGCACTGGCTCAAACAGAACGCTCAGTCCACAGACGCGGATCCCAAGGCAATGTTTGGCAAGGCAAATCTGGCCATCGTGGTATCGCGCCTAACACTCACTTTCAATCGCTCAATCCAGGTGCCCTTTAAGAAGGCAACTCACTCACTGGCTGACGCCCGTGGTGTCTCTGTGTTGGGCAGCTGCTCCTTGAAGCTGGCGTCAACGTGAACCGAGCCAAGCTGGATGGCAGTGTGCCCCTCATGATCGCGTCTCAGAATGGCCACGTAACTATAGTGAAAATGCTCTTGGACGCCGGAGCCCGACCGGGCATTTCCAACGACTTTGGAGACACGGCTCTGCACAAGGCCCCTGTAAAGTTTGACAACCCGGAGATGATCAACGTGCTTGTGGATGGAGGGGCCGATGTCGCTCTTGCGGTAATGGCCCTCAACGAATGCAAACTATTGGAGACCTTCTCGGCCTTGGGAGCCTTGTTTTTTTTTTGTGAATCTTCGTTCTTGCCTCTTTCTGGCCACAGGCAATGTGGTGCGGTGCTTTACAATCGAAAATGGGACCACGGGCCCCTGCGAACGGCGTTGCACTCAGAGTATCATTTGGTTGAATGTACATTCGGCACCTCAGTCGTTGGGGCACGGACAATGTCCTCTTGGCGCGAACGAAATGAAGCCAAAATGAACCTCTTCAGATTTGATTTGTGCATCGGTAGAGCTCAGTACCTTCAACAGTCATGGGCTTGCGTTGAAGGCTTCAAAACATATGCGAAAACTCGGGTTGCGTTCGAGTGCACACCTCTCAATTTCTAGAGGCCAGAATCTTGCCTTCAAGTTGGCGCCAGTCACATGTTTCTCAACGTACATTTGCAGGACAACCGTGGAGATACTCCGCTGCACATGGCAACGCAGTTCGGCGCCATCAAGAGTGTGGAGGCACTGCTCGCTGCGGGCGCCGACCCTCTGCTGCCGAATTTCGACCTCGAGCTTCCTGAAGACATCATCTGCGAGTGCCTGGATTTCGTGGCCTTCCCAGAGTCCCTCCAGTGCCCGGAGGGGAGCTGCTCCGACGATGACATAGAGGCGATAAGAAAACTGCTGAATCCCGAGGCCGAGAGCAAAGACAAGAAGAAGAAAAAGAAAAATGACAAGGCAGGGTCTGGTGACCAGCCCGCGGCAGCGGATGCTCAGGCACCCTCCGGCTCATAATGGGCTCCGCGATGCCTGTGGGTCCAACACCCCTCCCGGCGGTGAGTGCCGCTGGGGAATTGGATTGATCCATTTTCCACTACTGAGACTGTCAGTTTATTGTCTGCATCGAATCCACAATTTGCATCCATGATGAATCAACATCCAATGCATGATGAATGATGGAATTTCCATCACGGTACATTGCAGCAAAACGTCGCTACCGTATCGCAACACGTTTTGTGTTCGCCATAACCATCAGATGCACGTTTTTGGCGATTCCAATGTACTGCATCACATTTTGGAATCTAAATGTGATGTAGTATTTCGGAATCTATTGCATCACGCATCAGGTGCTCTTTGGCGTTTGGGTACTGGATGTACCTTTTACGCCTATTCGGGGTGCGCTGGCATAGTGCCAAAGCAGCAAGCACTGAGTACCGCACGCACTGAGCCAAAAGCGCGTTGAATGGACATTAATAAAACAGTGAGTTATTGCATGGCGCCGTGTACCGACAACTTTGGCCATCAACACTGAGAGACGGGGCGCTGTGAAATGAGCAACAGCTGGGAGAGAATTGCAATCGACAACGACAGAGGGTAAAGATCACGAAAGCTGCAAATGCAGAGTTCACATTTTCTGGATGCGTGTCAATTTTTGGATGACACATGCATCTCTTGTGATTCGCAGGGAAGGCAGAAATCGATCTTCCCAGGGGGGCCGCCTGCAACAGGGAAGAGGGCAAGAACTTTTACGCCCGTGGCCAGCATGGCCCCTTATAGTTGATCGCCATTTTGCAGAGACGGTAGACGTGGCTCAATCTGGAGAGACGCAGACTCGGGCGACCGAGGGCCTGTGCGTCGTGGAATCTCGACCAGCTTTTAGGCGGGATTTCCCTGTTAGTGTTGTGGGCGGGCGCTGGCACAACCGTCCCTTTAGTTCACAGGAGTGCAAGACCGAAGGACATAGCTATAGCTATCATCGCAATAATGCCCTTGAGCGCAAGGGCCATGGTGGCGGGTAGAGTACCGCAGGACAGGTCGCATGTAAATGGAGTGCAATGGACCGTTCTGGTGGGGAGTGCGGCGGCACCCGGTGCTGGCGCCGGGGACCGCAGCTGTTGATGTGAATCTGTGCGTGGAAGCTTCGCTGTGCCTGGCCCCCGTCGCCCGGCCTTGAATTGTTCGTTCCCTCACAGTGGGAAGCAGGCACTGGGCATTGAAAATTGTGAGTGCCATTGGCAGGCTGTGGCACACAGTCCCACATGTCGGACATGCAGTACCAATGCCACCTCACAATTATCACCCGGGAACGCATAGCAGCCCTGTGTCGCTGCCGTTTGCACAGGACTGTGCAGTTTGGCCGTTGTCGACCTATTTTCAGTCTGGCAATTGGGCATGCGCAACACACAGCTCCTTCCAACAACGACGTGCGCTCTTTGCGAGACTGGGCGAAACGAGCGGGTCCAGGTGGCATGCGCATATATATGTTGTCGGCATATTCTTTGATACATTGTTCATGTGTTGCTGGAAGCAACAAGGTCCAACGCTGCGGAAGCAACTCTTGCCCTGCGTCTGTCGCACAGAGCCCCAGCGGCAAGCACAAGGGCAGCGCTCAATCAGCGAGTTTGCAATGATGACACAAGAGCGGTGTGACAGCAACCGACCGCCTCCCCAATTTCGCCTCCCGCGAGCCCCAACATCTACTTACTGTGATTCCGAAAATCTGTAATTCGTGCAAGCGTGTGCGCCGGTGCGCGACCGAGCACTGGCATGAATTATTCAGCGCCGCATCCCACCCTCCTTGCAGGCCGTCCATCACGCACAATGCAAGGCAACGACCCCGGTCGAGCTATACTACATGCAAAAACGACGAATGGCAACGGGCGTGTTCGGTTAGCCATCCACCTGCAGCGCAGCGAACCAGGGTCAGGCCCTGCCGGTACATGTGGACATCCCGGGCAAATGGCACGTCAAGAGGACATCTGGTGGAAAGGGCACTTCAAGAAATAGTGGGCGTGAAGCGCGTGTCGGCAGCCCCGCCCTGGGAAGAACTTTTGGCAAGTGTGGCTCAGGCGCCAAGCGCGGCTGCCAGAGATCGGGTGAGGGGATGCTGCCATCGTTGTCAATCAGACGAACCGGAGGTGTATGGTGGAAGAAAATCATGCCTCAGTCCGATGCTGGCTGGTCGCCCTGAAGGGGACAGTCCAGCGTGGCAGATGGGTGGCTGAAGATTGGTGGAGGACGGTCCCTTGGCCACTGGCAGCAACGCAAATAATTTGACAAAACTACCGATTCTTGGGAACCTGGATTCTTTGGAGCCGCCCGCTGTGCCATGCCGAAATACTGGCTCGTATCTGTCATTAATGGCTTTTGCATGATACGATGCTGGCGATATCGGCCACCAATGGCTTCAGCTTGGACCCTGAGGGCCCTGGATCGATGTCTTACCTTTCCAGCTAATCCAGCTGGGATGGGAACCTGGCAACTGGAAATTCCAAATCTTCTCTGCCTCATGCTCAAGTTTGCGCGCTTGCGTCACACATATAGCATGCTCGCCTGATCAGGGCCCAATGCTCAGTGACTACCGCTGGCTTTTAAACCGTTCCGCATAGTCCTTTCCCAAACGTAACGTTTGGCCTTCTTTAACGAGAATACAGTAAAATAAATGACGCTCTTTTGCTATAATTTTTGCGGAGCAATGTCAAAATAATCAGAATAACACTCTTGGAAACAAATGCGGAGCAAAAAGTGTAACGGTGAAAATTTTCAATGCGATAGGGTTTAAGACTAAGGGGAAGCATGGACACATGGACACTGGACACAATTTGGGGTTGTGGAATGGAGATGGCCATGCTGTGAGCAGGAGCAGCAGATCGGGACAGAACGCACAACAGATTCACAGCACCACAAATGAAGAATGTAGAACTGAAGACAACACCAGCATGTGGGCTACAGAAGGCTGTAGTCCTGGCATTGTGCCAATCTTCCCTTACTGGGGAGTATGTGCCAACCATGGGCAAGTGGGGTACAACAGTTGTAGTTGTGCGTGTTGCAAGTCGTCAGAGCCGAGGTCGCAGTTGACCGACTGTTCAGTTTGCCTTACTGCAGATCTGTGAAATTGGTTCTTTCCATGCTTTAACTCCAGTCCGTTTTAAATTCTGCTGTGTGGATACCTCGACTGGTGATTTACACCCACCTTCACATTGATACAGTTCACAACGTTCGAGTCGATACCACGCACATCTCCCAGAGACAGTGGGTCGATCATCACCGAGCCATCAGCAAGCTCCAATTTCTGTGTGAACACAGAGCAATACGTTGTCAAGGACAACAAATCCAGAGAAAGTATCATTCCGATTTGATTCCAACTGCAGATTTATGCAGCCACCTTCAGTTTGCAAGCACCAGGGAGACGATCGCGACTGCTCGTCAGGCTCCGGGGGGAGGAACTGACAGCACGACATAAAGTTGGGAGGCCAGGCATGCCTTTGTACTGTTCTATTTGATGCACTGCCAAAGTCAAATATGTTGTGCGCCATTTTCATGTCCCTACAAGCAGAATGCTGTGTGGATTCATGTCAGGCCTACAAGCAGTATATGTCACCAGCAGGAAAGCAACCTAACGAAATTGGACATGCCAAATGGCGACCTGTCTGGCAGCTTTGCAGCATTCGATGCTGACTGCAGGAAACACTCATGTGTGCACCTGCTGCGCCATGGCAAACCCATAATTCTTCTGTATGTATGCCTTGACATAGGACACCATGGTCCCCAGCTTGAACTGCAGGCATCCACACACAAAATCAGGGCAGAATCATCACAAGTCTGGCCAAAAACGAATGGCCCAGGAACAAATTTGACTCAAATTTAGACTCTTATGAAGGCTAGGGCTCCTAACAGCAGTCTGGTAAGATGGGCTACTATGGAAGACATTGCCCTTTGACATCTGGTAGGCAGGCCCCTGAGCTGGATCAGTTGTTGCCTTAGAATAAGATCCAAAGAAATTACACCAACTGTCTCAAGGAGACAACAACACAACAGGAATTCGTTTCTGCCATCAACTGTGCTGTGGCATATGACATTACTGGAGCTTGAACAAATACTGGTGGGATCTTGTGTGCCTGTCATCGCTTGCAAGTGCAAAGATATTTTTGCCACCGCTTTTGCACTATTGTAACCCAGTGAAATTCTTAGAGTATCAGCTACGCAGCACTGCAGCAGCAACAAGCAGAACATTGTTCCAAAAAAACACAGATTTTTGGCTTTGCCGTGCAGGTCATATTGAAGAATATCAGAGATGGCCTACCGATGCCGCCCATTACCAGTTTCTAACTGTATCTTTCCATTCACTGTCGTTTTATTACTAGTAATGTTGGATGCTGGGTGCTGTGCACTGGGTAGCATATAATTGTCTCTTCAACCCAGAGACCACATGTTGCACTGTGGGGATACACCTCCAGGGCAAGAACTTCTGCTGGACACTCTTTCCGCATCAGAAGATGAAGATTATGTTTCAAGTTGGAACGCAAAACAGCACGCACTGCTTTGGTAATATTCTGTGTTGACAGAACGGACAAAAGCTCAACATTGGGCAGGAATTTGCCTCCTGTCAGACAAGAGTATCCTGGAACTTTCGCCTCTCAATGGATAACGGAGGCATCAGTCCCTGAGGGCAGCAGGCGAACGAGCATCCAAGGCTGGGCACGGAGCGAACATTTGCTGCACCGCACACGCGCTGTGAAACTGCATGGTACTCACAGTCTCCATCTTCTCCTCCCCATCAGGCAGCTTCAGCAAACACTGGAGGCACAACAAACGACAAAGATCGGCACGCCTGCGGGCCAAAGCACCGCGCAAAGCACTCGGACAGAAACACAGCGCTGGCCCGGAGGCGTAGCGCCCAAACGTTGCCACGCCGCGCAACGAGCGCAAGCCACCAATGCAGCGACTTGGCGACTTCGGCACGTCACTCTCTGACACCCCTCCCCCCCCCGCCTCCTCCCCGCGCATCCCCCTAGCGCCTCTGGCCTCCCTGTTGCAGCACCCAGCCGAACGAGGCACGCACCGCGGAACCGCGCCCCGTCGATTCGCAGCACCCACCCGCGTCATCTCACAACAAAAACATCCAACAACGGCAACGACAGCGATCCGACACGCGGCCCATGCGCCGGCGCCTCCCGTTCCGCCAACGCAGCCACCAAGGGCGCCGAGATTCGTTCCCCCACCAGCCAGGCGCCCCATTGCCGCCCACCGCCCGCCCCGCCTCCCTAGTCCAGTCGAGCGGGATTCCGCCAGCTGGGCAAATGCCCGCCGCGCCCGATGCCACTCCGGATCCCCCCGCGCGGCCGCGAAACCCCTCCGACAAAATTCGCCGGGCGCCGATCCGCGAGTCGGAGCGGGTGTGCCGCTCCGCGATGCGCCCAGCCGCCCGGCGCCCGGGGCCTTCGACGGGGGCCCGAGGCCGGGATGGCAGGCCGATGCGCCGCAGCCGCTTGCCCGACATGCCTCCAAAGCGGAGCGGCGGCCCTCGAGCGGGGTGCCGCGGGGGCCGGAGCCCCGATGCCGCGCCGATCACCCCCCGGCGCCCTCCGGTCGCCGCACGAGTCCGCAGCGCCCCGCCCCACGCACAACGGCGCACAACCCTCCGACCGCACCCCGAGACAAGCGAAAAATCCGCTCCAGATCCAAAACCCTTGCCGCCCCGACAATCCCCAAACGGCCACCGCGCACCTTCACATCCTCGCCCGTCTCCTGCTCCTCCTCCTGCCGCTTCAGGTCCCGCGTCTTGTCACGGAGGCCGTCCAGCTGCAGCCCCATCGACATCGAACCACCCGCCTCGATCGCCGCGCCGGATCTCCGATCCGCCTTCCGCTCTTCCCCTCTGCCACCTGCGGTAAGCGGGCCCCTCGCCGACCGGCCTCTCCCCGCCTCGGCACACCTGTGGCGCAGCGCGCACCGCAAACCCCCTGACGCGGGGCGTTTTCAGGAAGGCGGGCTTTTCACCGGGCCCACGACGACGCCCCGACAATCAAGGCCAGGATCACCGCGCTTGATCCGATCGTGCGCATGACCGACCCCGGCCACGCAACCGGGTGGCCAATCATCCGCACCGAATGCAAGAAATCTTGCGTATCGACTGCATCTTGCGTAAAATCTTGCGCATCAACTGCGTTTTGAACATCGGGTCAGTGTATCAAGTCGAGGGGAAGTCATCCGTCATTGGGCTGCCAATCAGGGGGAGAAGTTTCCGTCGATCGACAGGCGTTCCGGGCTGTGAGGTAACCGTTAGGCCCCAGTTTCGCGGTGGGATGCAAAGTGGCTCGACGGTGCTGTCGTCAAGGAATCTGACGCATCAAGAAATCTTATGTGTCTCACGTGTCGCGGTGTGGCCCTTGTTGGAGTGCGTGTTAAAACGGTTCTTCCTCGTCTCTAGTCGGCACTTGATGTTGACAGTACATGGCAACAACTAGGGATGGTACCCAGGCTGAAAAATCCGGACCCGGGTACCCGGAGTTTCCAGAACCTGGGTACTCGGGTGTACCCGGGTAACCCGGGTGCATTCCACACCCGGTTAATCACGAACACCCGGGTACAACCAGTACCCGGTCCGGATATATACCCGGGTACGGAAACCGGTTCGCAGCGCTTTGCCGGCTTCTGTCTAACGGAGTCCACGACGGCGCTGCAAACGGTGCAGAGTTTGGTGTTTAGCGGACGGACGGACGGTGCGTCCGCGAAAGGGCGGGGTAGCAGGCCTCCCCGAGGAGGCAAATATGGGGGGAGTGGGAGGAGACGTTCGGCCTCCCACTCTCGCCGTTTTGTGGCGTGTTCGGCGTCCAAGCTTGGGACTCAAAATAGGCTGCAGTTCGCAGTTCGCAGTCGCCCCCTGTGGCCGCCGATTGATGCCACCCGCGGATGCCAATCAGGGCACCCGCCGGTGGCACCAATCGGCGGCCGCGAGGGACAGAAATGGGGGGAGTGGGAGCCAACTTTCGGCCTTCCACTCTCGGCATTTTGTGGCGGACGTAGCCACACAGGGTGTGGACGGTGTTGACCTTCACTGAAACCAACGCGGTGCGAAGCAACGCACCGAGCGACTGCTTGTCAATTGCACAGTACCCGGGTCCGTACCCAGGCCGGGGTACTGGCAGTACCCGGATAATCCAGGTACCCGCTTGTACCCACCTGTACCCGCCTGTACCGGCCCGTACCCGCCTATACCCGGGAACATACCCGTACCTGCTTACCCGGGTACAAGTGCTGGCGAGTACCTGGGTAGGCGGGTACAAGATAAAACAATACCCGTCCCGGGCACCCGGATATCTTGTACCCGGGTTTCATCCCTACTAACAACTTAATCAGGGAATACTGTATGTCGATTTTGTTACGCTCAGCGTCAATTTGACGTTATGCTCAGACCCCCACCACCACCCACCCAACCTTGTGTGCTCATCTTTGCTTCGAAGGCTCTATATCATATTTTCATAGTATGGAACAGAGCCTCACATACACTTGCCCAGGAGGGGGGGGGGCTTTGTATGACATGTTTCTCTTTCTTTTTTGGTACAGATCTTCCTCCCACCCGCCCCTTGGCGCCAATCCTCATGTCGAAGCCAGGATGACTCAGCATCATAACATGATGGCGTGGTGTTAATTATTATGTTTGTCAAAAAAAGTCCAAAACTGCAGCAATTTTGGTGGGCTGAAAACATAGACGCGAAATGCCATGGCAGATGATGGGGGTCAGTTTTGGAAGCCGCCAATCGAGATTTTGTGGAGCATTTCATGAAAACTGAGAGCCAAAGGGAAGTTTTGAGACAATTCATACGTCTGTTGCCGCTTTTCAGCAGCTTTTTAGGTATCTTCCAAGCTTATGTTGTTTTCGTTGCAATAACATATCTTATGCAACACGTCTGCCTGCCCCCCCACCCCACCCCTAGCATGAAATTGACGCTAAGCTTAGCAGTTTCGACATAATGTCTTCCCTTACTTGTAACTTGACATAGTGCCCAATATTTAAACCAGACAGGGGACCCAAAACTTCGCACGAGCGGATTTCCTTTGCCATGGAAATGCCAACGCGCGGAATGTTGATATTGCACCTGTACGTGTTGTGGCATGCCGTGTCCCCGTTTCGTGCTAGCACAACTTCAAATGCGTTCACAACTGGAATGTTTGCTGTCTAATATGACCAGTACTGCGCCGAAAAACACACAAATCTGAAAGAACGGAAACCCACATTTTTGGTGCTTAGGCAAAATTGTTTTGCGATGCGCTGGAGATTCGCAACTGATCATTCGCGCATACTAATTCATGTACTTGTTCAGTGCTGCTTAAAAACCAAATATTGCTCCATACCGGTACCAACTTGAACAAGAATATTCATAAACTAAACTCATAAAGTAAACGATCAAGGACTGCTCCTCAAATACTGCTTTAAACGGATGCCAGCCAGCAGTGAAACGATGCATCTGGGTACCCATGAGGTACGGCTTGTCGGCACCACCTCAAGGCAACGATAATATACGATAATGCACACATGAATTTGAAATGCCATGGCCACGTGAAGCAATCACATGTTTGTGTCATTTTTGTTGCATCCAGCAAGACATGTGCTGCGTTCCCTGTTTGGCGTTGCACTCTCTTCCCACCACTGTCATTACCCTTGTGCCAGAATCGCCCTCCACACGCTGGTGAAAATGCAACCAGAAACTTGGACAAGGAAGCACGATTTGGATCCATCATAACACGGTTCACTCTCCGCCGCCCAGCATTTCCGCATAGGAAAGTCTTCACCGTTTTCAGAAGAGGGTTATACCGAATCTAGGTAGGTTCATTGCAGTTTGTCGTACCGGCATCGCCCGTCGCTTTTATCGATCCGCATCAGCCTTTGATGATTGTCCGTTACCTATCATTACCAAATATGAAGGCCATGGGGGGGTGTGAAAGTGATGAAGGGCACTAGGGGCCCAAGGACCCAAAGTCCAGGCACCCCTCATGACTCTATAAAGTCGCTAATTAGCGACCTTCATGATTTCATGGCCTTGTGGCAAAATGACCTCAACGATCTCCATGACAGTCATGGCCGTTAAGACCTTATACCATCTTTTCCGGACATGAAGTCATGAAGGTAATGAAATTCATGAAGTGGATCGGACATTTGTGCAGCCTTTGCCGGGGGGCAGAAGCGGGAACGCATGCCCTGCGGTGCCCTGTGGGTGACCTGCGGAACCGACGCAAAGCGGTCTCTTTGAACAATCGCTTTGAAACGCCAGCCCAGGATGGGAGAAACCAGCCACGACGAAACCTTTGCGCTCTTCGAAGAGCCCACGAGTTCGTGTCCACAAATTGGGTTGCCTTTGCGAGCGAGGTAAATGCGGACCCCCTTTATCCGTGTTGCTGTGCATGCGACGGCCGGCCATGGGCGCAGGCGGTGGCAGTTGAAGGGGTCGATGGGCGGTACGTGTGATGATCGGTGCGCATTCCCCAAGTAGGCAGGCCTGGAGACATTGAGAAGAGATGCAAATACGCCCCTGGTGATCAGATGGAGCCATGCAAGCACTTTTTAAGCGTGCCTCGCATGAATTGTTAAAAGGAATGTCGTGCTAAAATTGCAGCCATTGAAGACTGTAAAGCACAGAAGTTTGGTGTGCGAAATGGCAGTTTTCCAGATTGTCGCCAATAGGCGCAAGTGCATTCTGTCGTCGAGCGTTCGACCCATGCATTCAATAGATATTTCCACAGAGACAGATATAGCACTCCTTGGGGAGGAAGAGGTACAAGGCCAGTTGCTGTACAGTACTTTGTTGTACCGTTTTTCTAAAAGACGCTTCAAATCAACTTCGCCGGAAACTTTCCAGTTGCCGTCGCCATTTAGCCACAAGCCGCCCCCTTTCATCAAGGCGCCAAAACACGAGAACTGACCGTGAACGGAATTGTCCGTGCCTGTGTCGAAAAGGCTCCAGCGTTTGGCGCAATAAAGTATGGAGCATTCTTCGAAGGCTGAATGCATTCTTCACTATTCCCGCCATCGCAATACTTACCGCGGAAGCTTGCCTGCCAAGCGTTGCAAAATGGCCTTCTTCGTGCGAAACCCCGAGCCTTGAGGGACCCCTTCCCCTCCCCCCACCCACCCCTGCCCCCTCCCCTCCCACCAGCCGCCAAGTCACCCAAGGATTGAGAATTTCCCTTTCTTGGCCTTGATAAATTCCAACAGGTCCAGCGCGCCCCCGTCCTTGCCGAGTTTCAGGGCGTTGAGATTCGGGCCCGGCAGCAGGCTGCTGATGATGTCGTCGATGCCATCCTTGGCGACATTCGTGAATCCCAGAGGGCCCCCGTTCAGGAGGGTGGCGCCCGGCGGGAGCGTGGCGCTCGTCAGCAGCTCCAGGACGGGAATGGGATCGAAGGCGGCGCCGTCCAGCACCTGGATCACGGCCTCCACCTCGTCGCCGAATTGCCTCTCCTCGGCGCACTCCTGGGGCGGCACACGGCACGTTTCCCATTTAAGAAAGCAAAAAAGAAGAAGAAGAAGATTTCCGTGCACCGTAGTATATTCAACCTTTCCGCATGGCAACGTAACGCTTGGACTTTTTTGCGGAGAAAACAATGAATAAATAAGGGTCGAAAATAACGAAAATTCAAAAATAACGATCCAAACATGCGGAGCGAAGACTTTTACAGAAAAACTTTTCGATGCGCAAGAATTGAGTTCACTACGGCATGGTGTTGTGACAAAGATGTGTATGTCACTGTCCGTGATATAACCGCAATGCATGGCCCATTAGAATGCATCATGGCCACATCAAGGGCCACCCATGCGTCAG